TTCTTTCTTTCTTTCTTTCTTTCTTTCTTTCTTTCTTTCTTTCTTTCTTTCTTTCTTCCTTTCTTAATAAAAAAGTAGCATTTTACTAATACACTACTTAGGTAATCTCAATCGAAAATCAAATAATGTATATACTATCGCTAAAAAAATTATTATAGAAGAATATAAAACAAAATGACTCGTACTACGTTACAGTATATTTGGAAGAAAGGAAAAGTTACTTTGCCTAAGTAAATAAAGACATTGTTTATCGTTTGACACGCTTACAAACGTAGACGAATTTAGCAGCTGTATATGAAATTTTCAAAATTTTAACCGGAAAAATTCCGGTCGTATGTATCCGAAAGACTTACTCGAATTTCTCAGTATATTATATATTTTAAGTTTAGATAAACAATTGCACAATCGAAAATCAAATGCTTTACTTAGCAGAAAGTATATCTTTGAACGAACACGAATTTGGCCAGGAACAACGCATTAAATGTTAGAGAATAAGTAGTTGCTTCTCGTATTTCAGTTATGTTAGTTTTAACTTAATATTCGTTCTTCTCAAGGTACTTTTCTTATAGCTTTGATTTTCATTCTTAATTCTTAATGCCTACGAGAAATTGATCGATCCCACATCAAGCGCCTCAGGCTAGAGCAAGCCGTCGCCTCATCAAATATAATTGTCAAATTGAGATTGATTAACCTACCTTCCAAGGCCCATAATTCCTCCACATCCACGCGATAGACACTTTAACCGAAGTATTTCAACAGGATGGATATCTTTCGTGTTCCCTTTTAAAATTTTGGTAGTCTTTCGCCTTAATTCCTCATTCTTACGACCCGTGAACATTTTAGAAAAAATCTTTTTTTCAATATCGACGATTTTGAAGTCTGCCGAAGCGGACTCGGAATGTTCAATTTTTAAAATGCTAGCTTTTCTTGGCTTTTATCTTACTTAATCTAGTTCTTCGTGGCTTTACGAATGAACTTAACAACAAGAAAAATATTCAGATTGGTGGAAATTTGATTGAATTAAATTAGAATACGCTACAATGTGTCATCTGCCAAAACCAAATGGTTAGGGTTACTATGGTAACACATTCTAGAAAACGCGGGAACTTCCAATCATGACGCGATAAAAAAGTCAAAAAAAATTACCACAAATTAAGATATCTTTTTTTAAAGAGTTTTTTGAAAATCAGAGAATATATTTTTCCGTTCAGTATTTAAAATCCTAAAGATATCTCTGATGATGTTTCGACATTTTGCATTGTTTGCAAAGAAGTGTAGCGCTTGTGCCTACTGCAAGGTTTGCGAGTTAAGATCATAGAGCTGCTAAATTATAGAAAACCTTCCTTTTTATTTGAACAGCTTATCTCTGATTTTAGCGAAAGCAAAGCATCGAAAAATCCAGTCATCCAATCGTTTTAACACTGATATAAGGCTATCTTGAGCTCTTACACATCGATGGTTTGGAGGTTATTAGTATTGACTGAATAATATAAGTTAAAATATCATGGAATCAAAAGCATCCCACATAAAGGAGTAAGTATGCGTTCAAAGCCATCAGCGTCACAATCAAAATTTTGAGTTTGCTGGTCATAGCAAGGGGTTAATCATCTACGGTCTAGGGGCCGACTAACCTCTCCCTTAGGCTTCGGCCGAGCTTCCTGATCAGTCTGTAATTCTTCGGATAGCGGTGTCGGGGTCGAAATCTGCGACGTAGCCGTAAATGCTTCGCGCTGCCATACGACGGTTCAGCACTCGATGTCTGGAAGTATGGTCCTGATTTAATGAATCAAAATGTAAAAACAAATTCAGGGCGATAACCAGGGCTCCAGCAGGGTGGGTGCAGAGGAAATGGAACTATGTCAAGACTAAAATCCGTCTTTAGAAGTGTCTAAACATTCCAAGGATTTGCAGAACAAATTAAAAAAATATGGACCTCTTGCTTAGCAGGCAGAACACTAACCAACCAAGCCACACTTGCTCCATAAATCAAGTGATACGAGATCACTGAATATCAAACTATGGACCTTTTCTTAGCAGACAGCACACTAAGCAACCAAAACGAATAAAAATTGCTTCATTTGGGTTTAGAAATTCGCGTTTATTACAAGTACTCAAAAAATATGGCAGAAATTACATAAAAATAATAACGAATTCGGGAACAAAAACTAAAAAAAATGGACAAAATATGTACAACTCTTAATGCATTATTCAAACTTTCTTATTCGTCAAGCTTTTTAAGGCATAAATGACATCGTCTTGGTTGACATTAAGGCTGATTCGTCGCTGAAGATCTAAGCGTCCTGTCTCTACGAGGAGAAGTCGACTCGCTCCGATACGACTCACGATGGCTGATGCTTCTGTCATAATGGGTGGTGGGATTCCTGTGGTGTGAAGGAGAAATCATTATTAGATGATGATAAATAGACTGCTGACTAAGTACGAAGGAATGGAGGCAAGCAGGCAAGCAGGCAAGCAGGCAAGCAGGCAAGCAGGCAAGCAGGCAAGCAGGCAGGCAGGCAGGCAGGCAGGCAGGCAGGCA